GCGGTTAGGTACTCCGCTACCGCTAGCAAAAGACCTGAGTTCGATTCCTGTGTGAAGAGAAGGTTTATCGAATATCCCCGTCTTTCTTGTGGGATGATGTGTCCCTCTCAGCCCCGATTGGTCCTGACAGGCAGGGTTGGATCCCACCTCCTAAATAATTGTGTCGAAGGAAGGTAAAATATCTGTATCAATCAATCAATCAATCAATCAATCAATCAATCAATCAATCAATCAATCAATCAATCAATCAAGAAACAAAGAAACAACAAAGATAGGACGATAAAAAGAAAGAAAGAAAGTAACAAAAAACAGATAAACAAGCAAACAAGCAGACAAGCAAATACGTTTTTTAAATACGTAGAGGAAAAACTCCTCCCCTTTAAAAAGCAAAGTTCTACCCATCTAGGAGTATTGTTAAATTTGTTACTGTGTCCCCGTCGTTCGCAGGGTACCCTCGTTGTGCTAAAAAAGGAGGTAAAATCGTAAAATCCTCGACAAAACAGCGGGCTGTATGAACACTGATGCAATGCAAGGGCGGTGACACGTCTTTGTTGTTGTTATTCCGTCAAGCATGGGTCGTGTTTTTTGGCCTTCGTTAAGGAGGACGGACACTTATTCGATCGGGTCGGATGTCACTGCATGATCAGTCGAATCGGAAAATCGGGAATCTTAGTGTTGATTTGTAAAACAACAATTTGCTATGTTAATGACTTTAGAGACATTGGCTATTTATATGTTACGACGCTGTGGAATTATGCGCCTGTCAATTTTTGGTCAAGTGGATTTTTGGAAGCATTTTAAAGCTTGTTCCTTTGTCTTACTTTCGGTAAAAAAACCCAAAAAAACCAAACTCTTCTATCTTGAATAAAAGTTGAGATATTTGCCATTGAAGGAAAAGAGGTAACTGGTTTTAGAGGTAGATCTAACATTAGCGGGAAAATGGCCGCCAAAGTTAGGTGACTTCCAAGGCTCTAGACTCCCTTTTTGTGCCTTCGATTGAGGTTATTTAAAATCCACTCATAAATACGTTGCTAAATGGACATAAAAGGTGTTACGCCAAAAATGGTTTAAAAAAAAGAAGAAAAAAAGAGATCTGTCAAACCAGCGGGAAAATGCTGATTTCTTCGATTCCGCTTTTTTAACGAGCGCTTGATTTCGTCACGCTGCCTCGCATATTTAGTTGATGTTTAGGCCAATGATAATGTGTTTGAATGAACATTGGCTTGTGTGCAAGCTGTAAATATCCGAGTAATTTTTCGGCTATAATTTTGAACCAACAAACGTGTGGGATTAGACAGACGTAAACAATCGATTATCTAGGAGGCAGACTCCGACCCTGCCTATCAGAGCCAACCCTGGTTGAGGGGGATTCATAGTTCCAGGAGGAAGATCGAGATAATTGAACACCCCCCCCCTCCCAAAAAAAAAAACAACCAAAAGAAAAGAAAATCCCCTAGAGAATCGAACTCTGGTCTTCCGCGTGCAACAATGCAGCTCCTGACCAGTACGCCACAGACGTCAATGTTGGAGTACAAAGAAGCACACAGACAAAACTTTGGTCATTTAGTGCTAGGTATAAGCAAGACAGAAAGACAGAAACAACAGACGGAACGAAAATGAAGTAGAACCTATCAGAGACCCTCTCCAACCACCCGTAGAGGAAATAAGGAGGTGTCTTAGGAATATATTATTATACTCCGCTTCTGACACGAGTCTTTAAGAAGCCTTATCTAAACAGAGCAGGTGTATCACATAGACTCTGCTATTACTAATGATAATATCCTAGGGACGCTAAAGAGGTGTGTGTGTGTGTGTGTGTGTGTGTGTGTGTGTGTGTGTGTGTGTGTGTGTGTGTGTGTGTGTGTGTGTGGGTAGGAAGTTGTAGTTCATCAGCGATTTAAGTTTCTAGAAAGTCTCAACTCAAAACATTTCAACTTTTTCCCCCAACTTAACACGCTTTTAGTTCTGTTCTTTAATACTTGTGTCTGTAGAGCAGCGGTTAGGTGCATTGCCCTCGCTTGCAAAAGATGTGAGTTCGATTCCCGCGTCGGGGAGCTTTTTTAAATCTAAGAATAATTGCATTTATATAGCGCATATCCACGGTCTGCGGCATGCTCTATGCAATTTACAGCTTTTATTACCCGAGCAGACTCTAGAACTTTCAGAAACATTCTCGGCTCACTGGGAGGCAAACAGTTCAAGTTGCGAATTGCACGCGCTTAAAGTTAAACAAACCCTAACAAAGAGGAGTGTCTCTGTCTCCTTGCTGGGACGTTGTTATGTACCTCTCTGCTAGGTTGGCACTGACAGACAGAGACAAAGCAGCCCGCTTCCTAAAAGTTTTAAATAATGTAGACAGGGGCATTAGATACCTAATAATAAATGATAAAGATAGTATTTGTATTGCGCAAATTCACGCTTAACAGCTAGTTTTATGCACTTTACAATCTATAAATTTTCCCCAGCAGACCTGATAGCATTCTGCGAAACAATCTCAACTTCCAGGGAAGCATACAGTGCAAGCTGCCTCTTTATAGTCGCTAAAACCTTAACATACTGACAAGATGTTACGTTGTGTATGGCCGGGTACCCATTCCCACCTGGGTGAAGTGAGGAAATTTTTTTTGGGTGTAAAATGCCTTTGTGTGACACAACGTCGGGCCTTAGGCTCGAACCCCGAACTCGCAACCCCATGATTACGTATCCGGTAGCCTAACCACTGAACTACCGACGCCACATAATTTTATAAAATACTGTTTTTAGTTGTGGTATGCCTAAGGAAATATTTTGTTATTGCTACTCTCTGAGGTGTTCAACCCATTCCCAAGGGAAGACAAGTGG